ACTTAGGAATGCCAAGGGAGATGGTACAAGAACTCGTTGTGGCTACATAAAATGTAGGTTTAAATATAAACATCCCGAAAATAAAAATAATGACAAATTTGGTACCCAACCAAAACATCAGTATTGGTGGGTAAGAAGTAAAACTCGTAGATAAATATAAATACCTAGGACATGAAGTTATGATTGGCAGGAATAATCATCTCCATGAAGTAAAGAGAAGAATCGGTCTTGAGTGGCCAGCATGTGAAAAACTGAGAGAAACGTTTAAAGTGAGCTGCCATATGCCTACGGAGAGAAGCATTTGATCAATGCGTCCTTCCCGTGTTGATATTCGGAGCAGAAACACTTACTCTAACAAAAGCCTCGAATACTAAACTAAGAGTCACGAACAAGCGAACAATGGAGGGATCCATTTTAGGAGTAACTCTGTGAGACAAAATTAAAAATGAAGAGGTCAGGAGAAGAACCAAGGTGACTGACGTCATCGAAAGGATAGCCATATGAAAATGGAGATGGCAGGACATATAGCTAGAAAGGCAGATAGGCGATGAACAAAGGCGTTATTGAAATGGAGGCCAACGGAATATAAGAGACGTGTCGGTCGACCACCTATACCATGGGATGACGATTTAAGAAGACAAAATAAAAACTGAATGATAATGGCACAAGATTAACATGGTTGGAGAGACGAGAAAGAGGCCTATGTTTAATAGTGCACTTTTGAGGCTGGATGATGATGATGAACAAACAGACTGGATGATATAGATTACGCTGATAATTATATGCCCCTTAGCACCTACAAAACATGACAGACAACTAAAAATAGACAGATTACAAAAGGAATCAAGGAAGGTTGGTCTGGAAATGAACATCCAGCCTATAGTGATCAACAACCAGAAACTTGGGAGAGTGTTGAAATTTGAAGATCTGGAGAGCATAATAGACTGTAAGGTAATATAGTGGTACAGAACGTGATGTGCAGGAAAGAATTAATAAGGCTCGTAATATATACATGTAATCCTTAATAATATATAGAAATCTAGGATTTACATAACTTAGACAAAATTAAAAATCTTTAACACAAATGTTAAAGCTGTCTTACTATATGGCTGTGAACCGTGGTGGAAAGTTTTTAACAACAGAGCGTAAAGAAAAATTCTTCGTGTAATTTGACCTAATCCAATGTCGAATTTAAATTTATGGAACCGAGCCAACCAAGAAGATGTCATAAAGCAAGTAAGGTAAAGGAAATGGAGATGGCTGGTCTACATACTCTGTAGACATCCAGACAACATTCCCAGCACTGCGTTGGATTCGAATCTTTAGTACCAATGGGCAGTAGGTAGACCTAAAACAACTTGGAAAAGGACAGTACTGAACGAAGAGAAAGAAATGAGAAATCAAAGCATTAGCAAGAAATAGAGTTAGTTCTAGATATCTTAAAATGGCTCCGTATGAAGACGACACTTTACGAAGAAGAAGGAGACACTTTGTGGAAGCTCAATGTTACTCTTAGGAAACTCAGGAATCTCTTATATAGTAGATATTTCCAAATATTTTTAACCGTAAGCCGATCGAACCATAAGTTGATTTCCGCTAACACTAGTGACTTATCATCGATCTGTATTGCTTGCTCGAACCTCGAGTCCCCGCTTTAGGCAACGCCTATTTTGGTGACTCGGCGCTCGAGAATGTGGTCCTCTCGTTTTTTTGTATTTTGTTAGTATTCTGTGTGGCTTGTTCATTTTATTAATGTTGTATTAATTCTTTTGATGACAGAATCTGTTTGTTGTGTTTTTTGTGGATAGAAGTAATTTTTTTTAATGAACCAGATACGTCGTTCAGTCGTTCGCTGAACGAAGTATCTGGACACAGATACAGTTGTGTGCTGCTGGAATCTTCGTTTTGTTGCTGGGACTTATATATCCATATGTAAAAGATAGAGAGATGCATATGTAATTTGGTGAAGAGGGTAAATTTGTTACCTAACTTTCCACATTTAAGAGGGGCGTTGTTAAACACCTGATTGCTTCAAAATATTTATCAAGGACCACTGAAGCAATAAAACATTTAGACGTATTTTTCCTTCGATTTATTTGTAATGAACTTATAGGGCTGATTAACCATTGAAATTATCGCATTCTGATTAGACTAAAAAGAGTTACTAGTACAAATATCATTAGCTTTACGTGCTAGGAGGCAGTAACAAAGATACAGTTACAAAAAGAAACAAAACGGTTTGTTAACACAAAATACCGGTTCTACAAGCGTATGTTTCACTTACGCATCACGCACTTTTGGGGATCGACAACCCCATCACCACTGGCCGAGAGCATTGATTATAAGTGGCAAACTCGCACTGTTCTTGTCCTAAGTCGTATAACGCGCGGCGAAGAGGCTATGGGGGAGAGGGTTGCAAACACATTAACACGAGAGGTGACGATCTGAGCGCACAAGTTAATACAATAACTAAATACAATTACAATATTAAATAAGTTGTTTTTACAACATAATTATTGGTAGTAGGATGCCGTTTATTAATATTAATTTTGATTTCATAGCTAATTTCCTTCTTATTCCTACAAGTCCTCTTATTGCAACTTTGTTCATTGCTGTTTTCTGGACTGTTCCGTTAACACGTGGTGTGAATAGTAGACCTTGATAAATTGTGACTCCTTGGTATTTAGTTTCGTTTTGCCATTCGGTGAGTCTGTCTTACACTGTTAGCTGTTCATCTGTATGATTTATTCTCTTTTTAAAGATAACCGCTTGAGTCTTTTCTGGATTTATTGCTCTTTTCCATTGTATACTTCTTTCTTCATTCTCTATATACGGCCATATGCAGGTTTCTATGTTTCGCAGCAAGTAAAGTGTCCTCTGCATAAAGGCTGATTAATGTTCTGGGTGTTTTTGGAACGTCTGCAGTATAATGCAAATGGATGGAATAAATTCATTATTTCAGAAACAGAAAACTGTTAAAAAAATCTTAAAATACGTTAATTTCAATTTTTTAATGACCATCAACTGATATATATGTGTTGGATATTACGTCATCAGTGTCGGCCTAATGACGTAATCGACTATTTTTTTAAATACAAACCGAGGTCACGCAACAGCTCATTTGACAGGTGTCTTATTGTCTGTGTATATTGCTTCACGTTGAATCAAGCTGCTATGTATTCTATAAGTCTGAGTATTCGAAGGTCGCTGGAATGTTGAGCTCCGATACAAAAATGTGCTTCTGGGATTAACTCTAGCCTGTCTGTGTCTAATGGGAGTTTGGTTTGGATGACTCACTTTATTATCTTACTTGGCTAGACTTGAGCTGCGAAGTACTTTTAAACACTTTTCAGGATTTATGCAATACATTTATGTAATGAAAAAAGAATTTTTAAATTTCTGGAATAGGACAGAAGTGTTAAATAATTGAAATATTTTCAAATGAATGGTTTTTATAAATTAATTCAGGTTTATTTTAAAAATAACGAGAAAGTCTTAAAATTATAATGAAAAAATAATGTTCTAACCAGACTAAAATTAATAAAGACAAGTTAATTCTAATTTTACGTGAGAATGATTGTATAACTAGCTGTAATAGAAGACTGATCCCTTTTGATTTCCGTATAAAATTTTTAATGGTGTTAAATCAAAAACAAAAACGTTACATTGGGCTCTGTAAGTAATAGAAAAGAGTAACAATAAGCTTATTTGGTAAACATGAAAAAGTCCAAGGAAAATGTTACAAATAGTTATTTATTGTACAAGACGGTAAAATTGTACTTTATCTTCGAGAGCGTTTTTTAGCGTCGAGACGTCAGTCGAGACGCTAATTATGCTCGAGAAGGTAATGCAATTTTATCGTCGTGTGCAATACAACATTTTTTTCTATAGCAAGACTTCAAGTTCAGGTGAAAAATAGAATTTCAAAGAAAATTGTAATTTTTAGCACAAAAATCGCAATTGTGTTGCTCTGTTCCTAGGGATATGAATTACTCTCAAAGGAGCAAACGAGTACAAGTTGTGATGTTCCAAAAATATATATTTCTAATAATGTTAATTGTAACATTTTAGTGGTTTTAATCCTCAATGTGTTTGAATTCGTAAATTTTATTAAATAAAAAAAAGTTAAAACATTTTATCTACTCTTGCTGTTAAACTGTCACTTTATCTACCCTTACGGTTAAAGTGATACTTTATATACTTAAAACAGTTGTTATAACACTTTAACATTAGCTATGGAAAAAATATGTAATTTCAAAACAGACAGAGACAAATCTTTAGTGAAATATTTGGAAAAAATATCTACTATATAAGAGAATATATATATATTATATATATATATATATATATATATATATATATAAATATATATATATATAATATATATATATATAATATATATATATATATATATATATATATATATATATATATATATATATATTGGAGTTTATTGTTCGGGAGGCCTTCTACCCAGAACTCGTGCTATCGGGAGGAAGTGGATGGTCTGGAGCATTGGGGTGGGGAGGGGAAATTCCTGATTACACGAGGTAATCCTTCTCACTCCAATGAATTGTATCACTTTAATGTCATACTTAAATGGTGTGCAAGTCTCTCAGGCTGGGTTAAACTATTGCTTGCAGTGTTTAAAATATAGACATGTGCTATGGGCTACCTATTTAATATAATTATGGAGCAAATTTGACTTTTTTATTTTTCTAATTGAAATTTTTAATTTTTTTTAAATTATTTTGGGACTGCTGCAGACTCTTTTATCAATATTAATCATTATCTCTCTACGTGTATTGACCTTCTCGTATCTTATTCACAATTAACGTTAACAATTAACATATTTTTATAATTTCGTTTTGGTCGGTTCGACTCTGTTGGAAACTGTAACATGTCGAAGAAACCTTCCTTTGATGTAAACGCGCGTTAAATTGATTTAGTAACAATAAATGATCGATATTTATAAAAATCGCACGCTTTCATTTTTACAGATATGGTTTGTTGGGCGCATCAGGTTGTGGGAAAACGACTCTCTTGTCCTGCATCGTGGGAAGGCGGCGACTCAACACTGGAGAAATATGGGTGCTGGGAGGAAAACCAGGTAATGTATTTTTATTAGAAAACATAATGTCATACAATGAAACCTGTTAAAATTACCAGGGATTAGGGTATAACAGTAGCATTTAAAATTTACTAAAGAAAACAAATGGAAGGTATATTTGGACTTAAGTAAAAAATTCTATATATAAACATTATGAACTATAAATTCTTTATACGAACATTATGAACTAGAAGTGAACTTCAAAAAATAAAAATTATGATATTTTAAACCCCCAAGAAATGTAGATAAACTAGTCATCAAGAATACAACAATATAACAAATGGTTAAAGAAGACAGAAATCAGGTGAAAGAAATTTAAAAAAAATTACTGTGGGAGAAATCTACAAATGTATCCCCTCTTTTATTCATTTTATATTTAAAATTTAAAAAATAGGTACTACAAATTTAAGAGGATTTACTGATTTTAACTGGCATTTAAATGTACCTGTTGAATGTTTTAATCCAGTCGACAAACCATCCAGAAAGGCTTGCCTTGAAGAAACGATAGATTTATCGACACAAACTTTAGATTTCGTATGTTAAGAATTAACCCACGTCTCATCCAGGTTATGAATCTTACGACCATCACACCGGTAAGATTAAATTATCTTTAAATATTCCCTCCTCCACAAAACAATCTCATCTTTTTCTAATAACAGGCATATCAACAAAAATGAGAAAGGCAGATTTCATTTTTGATACTTAAAATAAGTGTCTTAAGAAGTTTATTCTTTTAAAAGTAGGCAGATCATTATCCTCATTAACTTCTCTTAAAACATTGTCTACAGTAGGAATTTCGTTTCAAATACGATCATCTCTGTCTACTAATAGACCAGGTGGTATCTGTATTTCTTTTGATTTTTTTTGCGTGCCTTTTCCTCTAGTTCCTTTTCCCTATTCTTTATAAACTGAAGAAGAAATTACAATACTAGATCTTTGGGTATTGCGTATTCCCTTACGTTCGGGAGTTTTGGCCCAAGGCAATCTTCCATGTTACTGGTCTTATTTATAGAGGTTTGACTAGTGAAGGGGACTGAATCAAAAGTTGAAACGGCAGGGGATCCGGTGATTGTTTCTTGAGTAGTTTCTGAGTAAAGTGCTAAACTTTGTTCCACTTTTGGGTTTTGTTCAGAAACTTCTTCCAAAAGAACAACAGGTACAGATTCTATATCGTAAGTTAAAGTCATCGCTGCTCTCTCCTCTACTACAGACATATATTCCAAAAACATTTCATCTATTACAATTTGTGAATTATCGCATTCTTCATTATTTGGACGTAAAATTTTAAATAGATTAGTTAGTACCCTGAAACTTTTGCTAAGGTTATCAGAGTTTTCATTTTTTATGGCTTCTTTTAAGAGCTGTCAAGTATCTTCATCGCATATGTGGCAAAAATCGGTCAAATTGATTGATTCTGTTGTGGTTTCGACAAATTTATCTGCTATCAAACCATACATAGGCATTTGCTGTAGTCAATACTATCCGCGTTCCAAGGACAGTGACCACACACTCTAAAACCACTATAGCCGATGGTTTAAGAATATCTATCGCTTTTTTTAAAATTTGAGCAAAGTTACTCTTACTTGTTTAAATGGATTTTGTCTCTTCCAATTTAACAAAGCTCTTTTCCACGTATTTTTAAGTGGCTTGAAACTAGAGACGTCGGCGTTGGCGGCTTGAAGAATTCTAGGGCCATTTGGATATAATGCCATTAAGACTATTTCGAGTTCTATACATATTTGACTTAGTTGGTATGTTAAATGTGTTTTATATCCATCTACAAACATTATAATTGGAAATGTAACATGTTGTTTTACTAAATAGGTGTATAATATTCTATAATGTTATTCATCATATTAACAATTTCGCACAATATGTAGAGATTAAAATAACACTTATAAATGGTTTTTGTTTTATAAATTCTAGGTACAAAAGGTTCGGGAGTACCGGGTAAACGCGTTGGTTATATGCCTCAGGAAATAGCTCTTTACGGAGAATTCACAATCAAAGAAACGATGATGTACTTTGGATGGATCTTCGGTATGGAGTCGAAAGAAATTTACGAAAGACTGCAGTTTTTACTTAACTTTTTGGATTTACCTAGTCAAAATCGTATGGTTAAGAATCTTAGGTAAGTATGTTCATTTAATTAATACAGTAAAATAGACCAAAACTAAATTCTCTTTAAAAGGTAAAATTCTACCAATGAAATAAAAAAAGTATTTCAGAAAATTGTTTTATGCGTAAAAATAACTTCGACAGAGTTCAAATTATTTTTCAAACTTGACAACCAGAGCTGACAACCCAGATCAAATAAATTCAAATCCAACAATATCAAGCCTACATATTTCAAACCCAACAAATCCCTAGAAAACATTCTTTTTAGTCCAGTAATAGGCAAACCCACCTAACTCTGGAGTCCCTAAGATTAATGGCTTATTACATATCCTATCAAAATAAAATCAAATACAGTAACTGTATTTACCGATGGAAAAAAACACCTTTTAATCCAGAGCAGGAAAACCTGTCTAACCTTCGAATTTATTGCTAATTTTTTGTATTAAAAGAAAATCTATTACAGCAAGACAATTAATTCGTCAAACCACACCCTTAAAACTACTAACACCTTTTTTGGTTTAAAAGCAGGAAAATTGACCTAATCTGTAAATTTCTAAGCAAGCAAATTTACTTGCCTCAGATCAAAATACTCTTAACACACTTAACACTAGAAACCATCTTTAGTCCGCAAGCATGCAAATCCAACTAACCCACGAACCCGCGAGAGTATTCGTTTTTTTTATTATATCCCTTTTAATCCACAAGCAAGAAAATACAGCTAACCCTGAAAAATTAGTAGCATAAGAATCCCTAGAAACTACCCCTACCGACTGCCAACAGATATATTTTCTCAAACAAAAACCGTTATTTTTGCACTATAGGATTAGGATATCTCAGAATCCAGAGCCAATTCGGCTTTCCAGTTCTCTGAGTCGCAGGCTTATCCCAGGCTTGAATTAAAGGTTTAACGGAAACGTCACTCTAATGTCTAGATCCCACATTCTCCATTATTCTGTTCTAGTATGTGTAATAATATTTTTCCACGAGTCTCGCGCAACGTTTTCTATAACAGTAGATAGCGTTCTTTCAATAACCTATTTTAAAAGTCAAGTTGCCCCTCCTACTTTATTTTTTATTTGGGCATTTAAGTTCAATAGGTCTCAGTTTAGAATGATAAGGAGGGAGGCAAATTTTAATAATTCTACTTTGAACATATTGTCATCGATTGATATATTTCTTTGAGAGAGCCAGTTTTCATGATGGCACCTTTCCGCCAAGCAGTTGTTGATGACGGTACCAATTACCGACTATGGTAAGATCCTTTGTCTACAAAAATGACAGAATTTGGTTCAAGGTTTAATAAAATTTAAAAACCAACCTTTAAATTTTTGGGAGTCCATTTCTTTATGATAGTCATTGGTATCTTGGAATCGAAGAGCAACAAGCCGTTTCCAAATTCCAAAAACCCGAAGACAAGCCTTTAATAAAGGCTTGTCTTCTAATTTCAAAATCCTTGAGACAGTATTGCTTTGGTTTAGCCAATTTTTGTCTAAATGTTAGATTTATAAGTTAGTCAGAAACTTTTTAATTTATCTACATTTATCTACACCTATATGTTATACTCATTATATCTAAATTAATAAACATCATTAAAACATTATCCGTTTTAACATTAATTAAATTTAATATATAATCTTTCTTCTCTAAAATCTATTTTTTTTTTGACGATCCGTCACTCTTTCTTAATTTTTATTTCTGTATTAGGTATATAATTCCGCGGTATTTTTACTAATGTTACAAATCGTTTTCGCACAATGGCGAGAATATCTCGATTTCTATAATATTAGAGGTATCAGGATTTCAACTGTTTAAATCAGAATTCAAACTGTTTAAATCGGAAATAGGGTTTTCAGAATCTTATTTTAAAGCAGTTTCAGCATTTAGCAATTAACTGATAACTGTTCAGAATCAGAATTATCGGATTCTGATAGGAAAGGGGGCCGCTTGCATGTGCATGATGACTAAGTGATCGCAATGTTCAATCACGAAACATTGTATAGCTGTCTAATTTGACGATTCTGTTTTTTTTTAACCAATCAGCTGTCAGTCGGCTTCTGAATGCCATCCCAGGACCCTGCGCGGTTGTTTAATCTCTGCTTCTGCCGAAAGCTTTCCTCTTGACGTTTGTCCGCCTTATAGACTCTGACCGTTTCTGCTTGATCTTACATACAAATCATTAAGATGCCACAATGTCAACCCAAACGCGTCATATAAAGCAACCCAAGGGCTCGCGCCCTATATAATGCAGGAATCACCCTATTAAATCAACTTTCTTCTGTTCAATTGAAAACCAGCGTCACGTGTTCCGTTTCTAAACCTTCGCCACTGTATTTACTGATATGATAATACTAATGTTTTTGATGTTTTATGCCTCTTGTAGTTATTTTATTAAATTAACAATGTATATACTTTCACTGTAATCTAAGTCTGTTGTTGTTTTCAAACTTTGTTCATCTTCATATTTTTCGTTTGCTTCTTGTGATGTTCAGATATATGTAGGTGTGCAATGTCTCTTTATTTTTTATTAAGTTGTCGCATTAGTTTATAAGCTACATCTTTATTGCGTTTTTTAGATATATTAGTATTGTTTTTTATATTCTGTTTTGGACAGTACTTAAATATGCCTGTTGTTTTACTTTGAATGCAGTTTTTTTTTCTGTATTTTAGATTCTATGGCCACGTTTTCTTGTTATCTTTTCTTTTTTTTTCTGTTGCTTTAATTGCTTTTTTTAGTGCATTATTTTTTATTAAACCATTCTAAATATATATTGTTTTCAGTTATTTGTTTTTAAAGAACTTGTTGCAGTCTTTGTTGACATATAGGTCTTATGCTATCTCATTGCAAGATACCTCGTCACTTGGGTTCGTCATATTTTTTGTTTGTTTTTGCATCTACATAATATTGTTATTTTTGAGATAACTAGGAAGTAATCCAAATTAATATAATTTCCTCTGTGAACTCTCACCTTTTGCACTCATGGGTTATGTTTTTTAATTTACAATAAATAAAATTTAATGATTTATTTAAGATTGAAAACATGTGTCTGCGTTTGCTATAGCGACTTTTCCTTAAACTCTGTTAATTACCTAGTTTTCAATTTGATATATTTAACTGGTTTTATCTTTTGCGCGTATATTTAAACCTTTCTTTGATTCTTTACAGTGTTTATGTGGGTTGGAAAAATGATTATCACTCAATATGTTTTTCTTACAACCCTAACCTTTAAAAAACGCCACGTGGAATATTATCGTTATCTCACTTTTTTCTCAATATGAAATGAATTATTTTCACAAAATGTAAATATAACTGGGGCATATTCTTAACAAAAGGAGTATTAACGACACAAAAGCAGAGAAACTCTATCGCCTTTCAATGAAATATGTGACGTTGTTATGAAAGGGAGCGAATCTGACCGAATAATTTTTTATACATATGTACGATGTTCATATTACGTATTGCAAAAAATATCATCCCAATTTTAAATTTTATTAGTATAAAAAAAATAAGGGAAATATGGCAAAAAATATATTTTACAAAAAAATTTGTTGCTTTAAGTATTTTTTTACGAAATAATGTTCTATTTTTTAAGTGCAAGTAATTGAATTTAATTCTAGAACTAGTTTAACTTTCGGTAAACATGTTATGTGTGATGATCTTTGTCATTATTAATCTATATATGAGACCTCTATTTGCAAAACAACCAATCTCATATACATATAGCTGTCTGCTGTAGTACGCTGCTTGATCCGGGACTCTAGGCACCGGAAGGTTTTTTTTGCAAGTCGACCGGAATCAGGCTAGATTCCTTCAATAATTTAAAAAAGGCTTTCGATCTAATCTTGTGAATTCTTTTAGAGGCGATGAGGGATTGCTTCACAGTTGGTGTCGTTTCCTTTGAGATTTTTTCTTTGAGTGAAAGACATGTTGAACACATGTCTATCTGTGGCGCCTTAAATGAAATGTTGAATTTTATTAAAAATAATTCAAAAATATCCTTTTTTTATTTTTGTCTCTGGTTTGGCTTAAGCATTGTAAATTTTCCAAAGTTTATTAATACCTAAATCACCTAATGCATACTTGCGCTCACTTCTACTCCCTACAGTAATGAGATTCCACGCATTTTATACTTTTAATAAATTCGACCACGCTCCTTAGTTTCTGTCTTTGTATAAATGCGTTCGTTTATCTTCTCTCTTTTTCTCACATGGAAGATTACTTTCCCCTCGAAAATTGTTCATTATAGTTCAGAGACGGCCCGTTGTGATCCTCAAGGTATTATTTAAAGTTATTTGGCAAATGGGTAACTTGCCATCTGGACCTTTTATGAAACACTTGCACGTAATCGTCTTATTACGATTAACTCTAGGAATTGTAGTATAAAGTTGACTTGTTTAACTTTTTCTTCATTTTTATGAAAAGCTTTATAAAATGCCATCACATCCATAATCTTGAGTTTTATGAACTGGTAGGTTCTCCCGTCGTGCTTACATGTTTGGCATTTAAGACGCCTTCGTTTTCCCGTACCTATAAGTTCACATTATATTTGAGATATCCAGTAATTATATGTAAATCATATTTAAATACAAAAAACAATAAAAATTGTACATATTTCCTGCATTTTAACAAAACTGCCAAGCATTTTGTGCTCACGATAGATGACATTTTTTCTTCTGTATAGATCTAAAAATATACTAACCTCAGTCGTTTTCTCACATTTCTCGCCCATTTCACTGGCAGTGCGACTCTTTTTTTACACTCTGTAGGCATTAATACTTCTAATATTGTCTCCATTTATTCATCATCATCATCATAATTTAACCTGGATCTGTCCACTGCTGGATATAGGTCTCCCTCAGTATTTTTCATGTATTTCTGTTTTGTGCTGTTTGCATCCAATTTTTGTCAATCCGTTTTATGTCATCAGACCATCTTCTTGGTGGACGACCTCTACTTCGATGTGCTTCTTGTCTCGGTCTCTACTGTATTATTCGCTGTGTCCATCTGTTATCCGACATTCTAGCTATGTGCCCTGCCCAGTTCCACTTAAGGGTCATAATTCTTTCTATGGCATCTGTCACTCCTGTTCTCCGTCTTTTTTCCTTGTTCATGATCCAATCGAACCAGAAATGCCTAACATCGATCGTTCCATGGCTCTTTGGGTAACACAAATTCTATTTCCTACTTTCTTGGTTAGTGTTAATGCCTCTGCACCATATGTAAGTACTGGCAACACGCACTGATTAGAGACTCTTCTTTTAAGACACATAGTCAGTTCTGATTTAAGAACATAGCTCAGCTTGCCGAATGCCACTCAAGTGAGTCCTATGCGGCGGCTTAGTTCGCACGTTTGATTATCTCCTATGCGTATCTCATGTCATAAGTACGTATGAGAGGTGGTTTCTTCAATACGCATACCATTTACTGAAATCTTTTCGCTAAACACAAGATTTGTCATGATTTGTGTCTTTGTGTGGTTGATTTTTAATCCAACTTGTAGGAGGCTAGGTATAGTTCACACTATTGTTCCCGTTTTATTTTAAATACGTTGATCTTTTTATCTGCCAGTTTCACGCTTGTTGTCCCATTTTGATAGATTTATTTTATAATATGTTTATATAGCGATGATCTATACACCACTCTGTTAAGGCTTTTAACATCTTTTGATGACTTATTGTGTCGAAAGCTTTTTCGTAGTCAACAAATATTATGACTAATGGCTTGTTATATTCAACACTCTTTTCTATTACGTTCTTAATTACTTGTAAATGATCATTCGTGCCGGATCCTGCTCTAAAACCTGCTTGCTCTCTTGGCTGATAGAAATCCAACTTACTTCCTATCCTGTTGGTAATAACTCTTGTAAATAGCTTATATACTTGTGACAACAAGCTAATGGGGCGGTAGTTTCTAAGGTCGCTGATATCTCCCTTCTTATGAAGTAAGATAATTTCCGCGTTGTTCCACTGCGTCGGTGTTATCGCTTCGCACAGACATTTATTACTAAATTGCAAAAACTTTAGAGAATAATGTTCCTTTTCTCAGCTTTAACACTAGTATGACCGCCATCTTAAAAATCACCGACCACGTGATACAATCTAGCGCTATGATTTTTGCAGAAGGATATTGGTTGTTTTAAAACCTACACGACCTTAAAGAATGGTCGTTTTGAAACAACAACCAATTTGCTCTATTTAATTTCAATGGGAGTTTGGTAGTTATGTGACGAAATGTATGCATAGCTTCTTCTTTTTGTAGTTCCTTCTCCTATCGGAGGTTGGCTATCATCACAGCTATCCTAACCTTATTGGCGGCTGCTCTGAAAAAGATCTATTGAGCTGCAACTATACCACTCTCTTAGGTTTCTCATCCAGGAAATTCTTCGTCTTTCTATGGATCTTTTACTCTTGATTTTACCTTGCATTATGAGCCTTAATATCTCATATTTCGCACCTCTGGTAATGTGGCCTAAATATTCCAGCTTTCTTGTTTTAATGTGCTTTATGACCTTGCAATCCTTTTGTAGCCTTCTTAACACTTCTGCATTTGTAACTCGTTGGGCCATTGTATTTTCAAAATCGCTTCTATAGCACCACATCTCAAATTATTCTAACTTCTTTATATTATCCACTTTTAGTGTCTAGCTTTTCATTTCATACAACAAAGTCGAGAACACGTAGCATCTTATGGCTCTGATCCTCAGATCCAGAGGAAGGTCTCGATTGACAAACATTGTTTTCATTTCATTCACTCTTTCTACTTGTTTTCCCTCGATATCTAGCCTTCCTACTGTATGTTGCTTAGAAATAATCATGAACTTGGTTTTCTAACGTTTATTTTTGTAGTACATATTTGATACTGACTTGATGTAATCTATTTACTAAGCGTTGCAATTCTTCTAGACTGTCTGCAAAAACAGCGGTGTCATCTGCGAATCTTATGTTGTTTAAGATTTTTCCGTTTATTGATATATTCTGTTGTTCCTCTGATATTGCTTCCTTAAAAATAGCTGGATGGTATGTTTACAAGGAATCCAGTGGGGTATTCAGGTCAGATTATCCAAAAAGTGAAGATCGGTTGTTTTGCAAGTAGAGGTCTCATATGATTAAAAACTTAACAGCCTGACAGCCTACTTGCCATACAAAACCAAACGGTTACATCATTCGATGTTAAAGTTTGTCGTATACATGTTCCATAGGACTAAAGTCTGGATATTGTGATGTTCACCATGGCAATACAACAATATCTTTGTTGGTCAACCAGTTTGACACAATACTTACTACATGTAAACGAGCATTATCATGCATAAGATAAGAGTTTTCGCCAACAGTACTTGAAAAAAAGCTGAACAATAGGCTGTGGAATGACATTAAGATACTGTTAAGCTCTCAGTAACCTAAGGGGAAAACAAGTCGGTTCTACTGGCTATAATTATTTCGCTTAATATCATTATTGGATTAACTTTGTATAAGATTTTGAGTTTTGTATTTCCCTAAAAGGTATAATCTCCATGCTATTATATACGTGATGCATTCACTGGGTATGCAGCACCAAACTTGAGACTGAAACCTGATTTAAGGACCTGATATTAAAATTTACTTTAAAGCGTTTTTAGCAGTTTGTCTTACTAAAATGAATACTTTTTGATTTATTCAATGACCAATTTTTCCAATGTATTTATTTTCTAGTGGTGGTCAACAACGAAGAGTGTCGTTTGCGGTTGCTCTAATGCACGATCCAGAACTTTTAATCCTTGACGAACCCACTGTTGGTGTGGATCCTTTGCTTAGGCAAAGTATATGGAATCACCTTGTACAAATCACAAAGGACGGCAACAAGACAGTCATAATTACAACACATTACATTGAAGAAGCTAGGCAAGCACATACGGTAAGTAGTATACTTACCTTATTAAAATTCTTTGTGGTAAACTGTTAAACTGTTACTGTGAAGTAATTAGAAAGTAAAAAGTATTTCAAAAAATGGCATAGATATCAGAAATTACCCTATTTAGTGCCTTTAAAAGTATTCCCTTTGGTGCCTCGGTGGTTACGTTACATGGTCATTCACTTATTTGCAAACAATTCATTGAATAATGCTACCTAAAAGCTAAATATAAAGCATATATATATATATATTATATATATATTATATATATATATATTATATATATATATATATATTTATATATATATATATATATATATATATATATAAGGTTCTTGAACTCCTAAGTGGAGCATAGAGCTTCAGTGAAAACGCGCCATCGGGTTCTATTTTGCGCTAAGGCCTTCACCTCATTCCAAGACTTTCCTTGTTTTCTTATCTCGTCCATGATGGATCTTCTCCATTTCAATTTCAAACGTGCTTTTGACAGCTTATCTCATGATGCGATATGGAAAATTTTAGAGCTAAGAAACATCCCGCATAAAATAATTTCCATTATAAGGTTACTGTACACTGAAGCGAAATGCAGCGTGACACACAATGGGATCAACAGTGACAAATTTGACGTACTTACTGGAGTCAGACAGGGATGCGTGCTTTCTCCGTTTCTTTTTAACATAGCTCTAAACTATGTTCTGTCCAAACTAGACTCTGACACAAGAGGGATACAATAGACGTTAACCACACGCCTAAGCGATCTAGAATTACGCCGACGATATCTGCCTGTTAGGACAAAGGTTCCAAGTTGTGGCTGACCAATTGGAAACACTTTCCACTGAAGCCAATAAAATAGGTTTGAAAATCAATATTGGTAAAACCAAATCCATGAGAATAAATGCAAGAAACAACACGCTATTCACCATTAATAACATGCAGATTGAAAATGTGGAAAACTTTACGTATCTTGGAAGTGTCATAACAAAAAGCGGAGGTACAGAAGACGATATTCGTATGAGGATACGAGAAGCGCAATAAGCTTTCAGCATGCTCAACCCTGTTTGGAGGTCTGGAGACTACACTACGAGGACAAAGATCCGCATATTCCAGTCAAATGTCATGTCTGTACTACTTTACGGATGTGAAACCTGGAAAGCGACAAAAACCCTTACAGACAAACTGCAGGTCTTTGTTAATAATGTCTACGAAGAATTGTTCGTATTTTCTGGCCTAACATCATCAGAAACGAAGATTTACTAAACCCTGACCAAACAAAAGAGGGTAGTAAATGAAATAAAGTCCAGAAAGTGGGGTTGGATCGGTCACACACTCCGAAAAAATAACTTCAGTATTGCAAAGACTGCCTAGAGTGGAACCCCCAAGGAAAACGAAAAAAAAGGTCGCCCAGTACAAATATAAAGCATAATAATCCCTATTATTAAATAATATCAGTGCTATTTTGGAATTGTGTTTGTTCTCCATGTTGGAAAGTTTTTCTGTTACTTACATTTAAGTTTTTATAACACTGGCAGGACAGCTTGTAGGTCATACATTACCAAAACTGTATTTGATCCTTCTTCCTTTACTTGTAGGTCGTACATTATCAAAACTGTATTTGATCCTTCTTCTTTTGCTTTTTCTGAAGCTGTCTCAGTTTTACTTAGTTCTTTTTCCTCTTGGTGCGACTTATACTGACATTGTAATTTTTCTTTTTCTTCGTCGGGCGTTTTTTAAAATGATTTATACCAATTCCATTGGTCTTTCGTTGGACAAAAGAAACGAATATTATATTAAATATGTGGGCGTAAGCGTCATAATTTACAGCAGGCTGGCTCATATCGTCTCCCTTCGTTTTATAGTGTCTGTACATTTCTACAATGAATAAACCGCGATCTGTAAATTCTCTTGATCTGTTAGCCCTTTGATAATGGCTCTCTATACAGGGTATATAATTTATATGTGATTTTACAGACACCAAGATATCAAGGTTCATCCTTGTCTGTTGACTATGTTTTTACGTTTATCTTGCGGTCCAATTCCAGGCCAAAAAGCTTTTGTTTGGATAAGTTAACTTCAAGCATCAGCGAGAAGCGCTACTACCTGACTTGACAATGGCAAGTGCGACCTTGCCGAAACATTGTCAAAATAATGGTTTTTATCAAAACCAAAATTATTCAACGCGGAGTCAAACCCGGAAAACTACAGAAAGTACATATAACTCCCGCGGAAATTTTAAGTGTAACATGTGTTTTAGTTTTAGAAGGGTTTTAGTTTTGATTTTGTTATTTTTGTTAGCTCTTTTGCTGCAGTGAAAGTGCTGTAGCAATATGCAACTATATATAATTTTCTCATTTTGGTTCTTGTTTTAATATTCGTGTTGCGAGTGGATAAAAAGTTATACATTTGGTATTTATTCCTTTGGGATACCTTTTCACAAATATATCTTTGTTTGCGGCACAAAATAAAAGTACAACATTATTGCATTTTTTATTTCCTCTTCTCCTTTCAACCATTTATTTATTTTTTCGATATTCCATTATGAATTTAATATATACACTCTGATTTAACATTTTTATGTTAAAAACAAAACCTTCCTCTTGTTTTATGGCAAAGTGGTCTCCGCTTAATTTAATTAAGTTAAGTATCTCTTGAGAAGCAACGTCAGTTTGATTGGTTATAAATCTCTTGTGCAAAATATTTAGACTTTAATTTAAAAGGGAGAATTCCTTTGATCTTTGAGAGGAGTGCTTAACTATAAATTAAATTGTATAAGCATATAAAATTCCAACGAAACTACTACATTATAGGAAATATGGGATAATTACGTTTAAAAACTGTATTATCATGTAACGGCTATAAATATTTTAATTTTAATTACAAAATTAGTAAAAAGAAATGAATTTTCTAAAAAATTCAATGTTGAAAACTTGGGAACTGTACAAAAAGGGAGTACATATGTGGGAAATTATTAGTATAATTTCCGTGTATGTGGACTGTATTATATAGGGCTGGTTCAATAAAATTAGGATATGTAGTAAAAGGTATACAGATAATAGCAAATTATGTTTATACAAAGTGTTACCAATATTTCTGCTCCACACTCTCACGGTTGTTTCCGGTCTTACACTCGTGCTTATTCTTCACCCGCAAAATCTGTCCGATGCACCGGTTTCTGAATACGTGTTTCGCACTAATATCACGATATAGAGCACACTTTGTCTGTACACGATTTAAAAAGTATTTTCGGTATTTCTTGCGTAACTAAGGCGGGAAAGAGGTAATTACGATAGAAAAACAGCCAAGATAGATGCTGTTCTTCTTGATAATCGAAGAGAGAGAGACAGAATGACTGTCTTTAGCGGTAGCCGAGAATCCCGCACGACTCACCTTGGCGGTAGTCAGATCAAGAGACAGAGAATGGTCTATCCTTAGCGGCAGACGACCATGCAGAGAGAGTGTCTTTCTTCTTTGCTATCTTAACACTGTCTGTAGTTCTTAATGGAGGGGGTTAAAATGTTATTAGGAAGGGTTATTAAGGGTTAGACTAAGATAATTATTGTAAAATTGTGATATAAGGATAATTTAAAGTACAGCGAAAAAATTACATGATTTTTCGCATGTAAAAAAACTGAACAGGAACCACTCAGAAATGGTATTTTGTCTTCAAATATAATTATTGTTTTAGTAGGCATTTAATAATATTACATTTGATTTACTTCTTTATTATGTTTCTTTAGAACCAATGATGATATTTAATATGAGACGATATTTTATGGAATGTATTGACAAATGAATTAAAGAAAATGGTGGACATATTGAACACTTACTTTGACAAAAAGTTTAATGTTATTTAGCTTAACTATTTCTTAATTTGGTTTGTAAATAAAATGTTTTGAATGTAATTTTAATTTCATACAAAACGTAAAGTGTTTGATGTAAAATCCAATTATTCTGTTATTTATCAAATCCTGTTATTTTATCCTGCTGATTTATTTATTATAATTCGTTAACTATTAACTTTATTAAAGGTATTTCATACCAAAATTCAAAAGTATTGATGTTTTTCTTTAATTTTCTTTCGTTGAATGGACTAATTGCAATTAATCAGAATTATGTAGTTGATTTCTAAAATGCAATTATCTCGAAAACTGTCGAGTTTTAAAGATATTAACTAGTATACCTTTTTTTGTTAAAATAATGTATCTTTGATATTTTTTATTAAAAATACCGGTAACTTGAAGAGCAAAAAAGGTAGTGCAAATGTATGCCACATATGTGGCATATGTGGCGCCACGAATCAGCTACATCAAAGTATACATTAAATTATAATTTCTGATATTTAATAGTACCCAGTTGTAAATTTTTATACATAAATGTTGACAAACATAAAAGTTAGCGAAAAATAAAATTTTAAATTTCCACTTTAACACCCTGTATCTTTCTTAATATCAATATTTTGTTAAAGCAACTTGACTTAAATCGTAATATTTTAAAGTGTAGAATCTACGGTGTCTTTTTATACATTTACTTAAAGGCCACCCTGTATACAGACGGATGCTGAGAATTCCATGGATTCAAAAGGTTACCAATGGTGAGGTACTTGAGTAAACAAAACTAATTACTCAGCATAATCAAAGAGAAAAAAATACAATACTTGGGCCATGTATTGAGAGGCAAAAAATATGAATTACTCCAAATCATCTTGGAAGGTAAAGTGCAGGGCAAAAGATCAGTTGGAAGATGCCAGAACTCGTGGCTGTAAGACCTGAGAAAATCCGACCTGAGAATGACCGCTTATCCACAGAAATCTTTCGTGCAGCAGTTTTCAAAGCTACAATTGTCATTTGGATCGCCAACCTTCGAAAGGAGACGGTACAATAAGAAGAAGAAGAATATTTTTATCAAAAAAGGCTGACAGATCAGCGTCAGTGTTTATAACCTAACGACCTTAAGAGGCACTTGCAAGAAGTGCAGTCTATCATATAAGATTCAAGCCAATATTTGCT